AAGTTTCTAACTCTCTATCCCTCTCTGTAAAAAAATCAATAAAATAAAATAAAATAAAATAAAAGTCCTTCCTTGTCGTTTGCATCTCATAGAAAATGTCCACGCATTTTTCAAGAATTACCTCCCCAAGAATTTTTTTCTAGCCTTCTAACAGTCTCAAAGAGAGTGAACTAACCCCTCTCTTGAGCCCCCATTGTCCCCAGTAGAGGGTCCCTTCTTGTAGCTGAGACTTCAGTTGCATGCTTGTTCACATGTCTGTCTGCCCTAGATCAGTGTTTTTCCAACTGCATGTCATAAATCATTAGTAAGTTACAATATCAATATACTGGGTGGTCAACACCAGCATTTAAAAAAAATTAAATTAAAAATATTACAGTGTAAAAAAATATTATAGGGTATCACATACTACAGCTAAGTCTTAGTTTGTAAACTATTTTAGTTATGAACGGGTATTTCCATTGGGTTATGATGTAAAATGTATTTGTTGTGGATTGTGGTCAAGTCTTGGAAAGCTACTTTATTATAACTAAGCTCTTCAAGAAACAACTCTTTTTAGTGAAAATCTTTAACCTAGTACTTAACATATGATACACATACTATCAATGTGTTGCTTGTGCCAAACATGGTACATCTTTTTTCACTGAATTCTCAATCCAAAGATCATGTAAGGTTATTACCATCCGTATTTCATAGAATGGGAAAAGGTGGATGAGAGGAATTGACTTGCCCAACCAGCAAGTGGCAGGAATAGCAGCACTCTCCTTTCTGAGTCTCTGCCTCATCACCCATCTTATCCATCTTGGCAGGGGAATGCAAAGGAGATTTTAAAAGGATGCTACAAACCGTGGAATACTTCAAAGACACTTCATCCTCTACTGGGGGTCAAAGCTTATTTATGTCTTTGCTTCCTTCTCTCTCCCACATCCACATTCCTGGCAACCCTTCCCACCAATGGGGCCTGGGGTGGCAAAGAACTGGGCTTTTGCAGGGCCAGAAAAGTTTTGGGAGGTCATTTCATCCACTCCCCTGTGTCGAGGCAGAATAGAATAAATCCAAGGGGAATAGGTGGTAATCTCTCCTGTTGGAGAAGAAAGAGATCTCACAAATTCATGGCATAGACCAAGCATGTTTTTGGAGCTTACTATTCTAGTCCTTTGAGATAAAAGCAAGACTCCTGGGATCTGGTTCCACTCTGCCACTGTGCAGCCCCGGGCATGCCACATACTCTCCTCCTGTACCCCAGCTTCCGCTTGAACTCTTCTTCACATTCACATCTCTACTTCACAAGGGCAAAGACAAAGAATGCCCTCACCCTTCCCTACATCCTGGAGGAAGACAGCAGCACACAAAAGAGCAACCAGGGCAGAGTCCCACCCCCAGGGAGAGGAAAACCAGGAAAGACTCTGCTGGGTGTTTATGAAATTCACCAGCAGCTGCTTCCTCTGTTGAACCCGCAGCCACTATGGCCTAGCCCTTCCCCGACCCCTCCCAGGGCCCTATAATTTTCCATCTGTTAGGGGGTCAAAGGAAGGGGTGACCAGAAAGGAAATGAACTGATGTCTGTCCCCTCATCCCAGCCCCTGGAGTGGATATGGTGAGTCCAGCTAAAGAGCTCACACCTTGACAGGGAGACTGTGTATGTGTGTGGGGGTGGAAGGGAGGGGGGGAGAAAGGAAGACTGAGAATGTCAGCATGTGCCTATGTTTACATGGACCTGTCTGTGTGTGTCTGTGGTTCTAAGTGCAGGTGAGACATGGAGAGGATGGATGTCTGTGGGTCTAGGTATGACTGGATCTGCCCTCTGGGTCTCTCTGGGCACTGGCTAACATCATCCTGTGTACCTCTGCCCAAACGTGTGAATGTGTACATCAGTGTGTGGGCCCATCTGCCTCTATGTGCCCATGTCTTTGTATTGAGTCCATGACGCGGGGTAGGATTTCTGTCTGTGTTGGATACCACTGTCTCCTCTCTCTGTAAAGGGTTCAACTAGTGATCAGGGGGAAGGAAGCCGAACCCATTCCTATCTGGCATGTGATTGCTGTCTAGACATGCCTGTTTGCTGTGACAGGACTTACTCCCCAGACCCGTGTAAAAGTGCTTGGCTGTCACTGCTTATTGCTGAGGCTCCACAGTGACTAAGCCAACATTCTAGGGTGATGCACTGCACTCTTGGGGTTTCAGAGACATGTCATGATCCCTGGTAGAGTCCATCTTCCTGGGCATTTCAGGGATTTGGTAACAATTGAGAGAGCAAGTCCAGCTTAGTTACTAACAGAGTCAGGGGTGCCACAGACTGAGGGAGAAGGTCACAGAGCTACAGGGCCTCTAGGATCCATTCACAGTTGAGGAAACTTGGCTCAGAGGGGAAGTGTCTTGTCTGAGGTCACAAGCTAATTCATCACTCATTCTTTAACCAATGCTTACCAAGCACCTATTGTGTGTCAACCACTGCGCTAGGTGCTGAAAATGAATAATCAGAAAGTTAAGCCATGGAGTCTGATATTAAGGCATCTGCAATTATATTGGAGAGACAGACACTTGAGCAGACGATTATGATAGAACCAGGCTGAATACCACAGCAGGAAAAAACATGCAAAGGTCCATGGGGGCACAAGAGGTGGCAGACTAAACATCGGCCCCCAAAGATGTCCTGTCCTAATCCCCTATGACTCTGCTATCTGATGTGGCAAAGTAGACTTTGCAGATGTAATTAAGATAAAGATCTTGAGATGGGAGAGGTTACCCTGGATTATCCAGGTCAGTTCAATAAAAGTCCTCACAAGAGGGAGGCAGGAGTCCTCATAAGAGGGAGCAGGAAAGTCAGAATCACAGGAGATGTGCCGATGGGATGGAAGCAGAAGCCAGAGAGACTTGACGATGCTAGCTGCTGGTTTTGAGGATGGAGGAAGGAACCACAGTCAAATCATGCAAGCAGGCTCTAGATGCTGGAAAGGTCAAGAAAACGGATTCTCCCCAGTGCCTCCAAAAGGAACGCAGTCCTGCCAACACCTTGATTTTAACCCAGGGAGACCCATTTTGCAATATCAAACTCGAGAACTCTAAGACAATGGATTTGTGTTGATTTTTAGCACTATGTTGGTAGCAATTTGTTGCAGCAGCAACATGGGAAACTAACACAGAAGGTTTCATCAGAGATGAGGGAAAACTGGAACTGTGTGACACCAGTGGGGATGACTGTGTAAGAGTTCAGAAAGTTGGAGAATATTGACAAGTTCCGTGTGCCTGGAGAGGAGTAGGAGATGGGGCCCTGAGAAGAAGCCTGGATCTGACAGCACTGGCTCTGTGCGGACCCACCTTTTGGCTTCTCTACTTAGTGCACACACCCATCCCCCACTGTCACTTCATATGGAAGGACCGAGCACTGAGCACTGAGCACCGAGCACCAAGCATTGAGAACAAGCTGGTAGTGACAGCCATTCCCATCAACAGCTGCTCTCCCAATTTCCCTCTCTCCGGCCTTGACTAAAAAAAGGGAAATAATGAATAAAACCACCGAAACAGCCAGTTCTGAGGTTAGGATTCCCGTGCCAGGCTGGCACACAGCTAAGAGGATACTTTTGCTGTAGTGTCCACTTGGATTGCCCCAACTCCCCGCCCCTGTTCTTGCACACTGCACTGAGTCTACCCCTCGCCTTGCCCATTGAAGTGACCTGGTCCTATCTTCATTGCAGCCCCACAAGGTACTGTAATTCCTATGCTTGGCCTAACTGAGGGAGTGACTAGACTGGGATTTCCTAGGGAACAAGGCCTGTGTCCTATCCATCCTCTGTCTCCAAGAGCAGGTCCTTAGAGTATTCTCAGGAAAGGAAACATCCACTCATTTAGTCTAGCTTCTTGCTGTAAGGCATACATTTATTTACTCTAAGCTAGGATCCCTGAGAGGCCTTGAAGAGACAGGGGGAATGAGATATATATTATACATGGGCCTGCCCCAAGAAACACACATTCTAAAAGGAGGTACATTAACAATTTCAACACAAATAAATGCTCTCACAGGAGGGTGAGAAGTTATTGTAAGGGGACATGGGGCTGCAGCCAGGTTTAGAAATTAGGAAAGGACAAGAGCTGGCCTATATTGCTCCACTGTTCATGATTGCTTCTGTGAATGAGCAAGGGTTATACCAACAACAGCACAACCTACACATGCACGGTGCTTAAACATCCAGCCATTACTGGATTTCTGGATTCCTGCTGGGCTAGGGGGAGCCCCCCTGAGAAGGGCCCAGAAGACACAATATCAGAATAGGTGTTCGTTCATGTTTGCTGAATACGCCACTCAAAACTTTTAGCAGGCAGGAAAAGCAGATCCCCAAAGAGAGCGAATCTCAGAGAGGGGGAATACCTTAACCCACCCTCACTAGGATCAGTATGTGGAAAGGGCAACACACAATCATTTGGGGCAACTCAGAATGTGGCCCATCCCAAGGCCATTCTCTAGGGAGCTCTGTGACAGGCTGGGTAAGGCCCTCAGGCTGGGGGAGGCCTTAGCCTTCACCAAACCCCCTCTTCTCCAGCCAACACTGAGGCTAAGGTCTGACCAAAGGTCACAGTGGGGCGGAAAGAAGTTTCCCAAGAAGCTGAGTTCTCCTAAACAGTAAGTGTACACCAAAGCAGCATTTGAATACCCTGAATCAGGACTTAGAATTGGCATGTGACCTAGGGCAAGAGTCTTCCCCTCTCATCCCTAAATGTCCTCAGAGGCAAAGAGAGTTGGACATATTCTACAATCTCTTCTAGTTGCGACATTCTGTGAGCCCCAAACCTGCCATTGTTTATGGAGCAGAGGATGTCAGACCCTGTTGGATGAAAGAGGCGGCCATGATTCTCATTTTGCTGGAGGGGTCCTGGGGCGGGTGCCTCCTCAGATACCAAGCAGAGAAGAGGACTGAGAGCTCCCTGGCTGTGGTCCCTGAGCCGGAAACACTTACAAAGCAGCAACCCAGGGCTTGCTTGCATTCTGAGGACGAGATGCTACTTACTATGCAGCAGGCGACCAGAGCTCCTTGAGCAAATCCTGCCAGGACGTCGCTGGGATGGTGCTTGTGGTCAGACACGCGGGACAGTCCTGTGTAAAAGGCCATCATGATCAGGGTGAACTGCAGGAGGGGCCGGAGCAGACGAGCCCCTCGCCAAGTGAAGCGGGCCTGAAGGTACAGCTGGAGGCGGGAGAGAAAAGGAACAGACAGTAAGTCACTCACTGTTCAGGGTATTATAGTGCCTGGCTGACACATGCTGCATCTGGACCTTGGGGTTGGCATCTTGTAGAAAGAGCATTCAACTTGGAAATGATCTCAAGCCAGTTTTTAAACCTCGAGCCTTAGCTCTCATACTAGAAAGAAAGAAAGAAAGAAAGAAAGAAAGAAAGAAAGAAAGAAAGAAAGAGAGAGAGAGAGAGAGAGAGAGAGAGAGAGAGAGAGAAAGAAAGAAAGAAAGAAAGAAAGAAAGAAAGAAAGAAAGAAAGAAAGAAAGAAAGAAAGAAAGAAAGAAAGAAAGAAAGAGAGAGAGAAAGGAAGAAAGGAAGGAAGAAAAGAAGAAAGAAAGAAAATGGGAGTTTTTCGAGGGAGATCAGCTAGAGCGAGCTGAAGAAGATAATATAATACATGACAGTGGCCTTAGCATATGACTGGCACAAAGAAGACTCCTAATAAACTTTTTGTTTCCTTTTCTTTACTTCTTGATTAAAACTAATTTAAAAATAGTAACCAGGGTTACCAGAGGTTACTTTTCAACAAATGACAACTCCTTGAGCACATCTGTGCCTTTTCCTGGAGCCTGTGGCTATGCAATCCCTGCAGGGCCTGCCTCTCAGCACCGTCATGGAAACAGAAATGCATGGTGATAAGCAGGTTATCCTTATAGTCACGATAGATGCCTGAGCTTCAGGAGAAGCAACTTATGAGAGGACAGGTTCCTAAGTCATGAATTGTGCCTATGGATGTTGAATTAGAATATGAGGAAACATAAATCATCCAGACAATACCAGAGGACTTTCAGGCAGAGGCTGACAGACACTGGGCTGGGTGGGGCAGGAGAATAACCTGAAGAAAATTTAAAGAAAAAAAAACCACCTCTGGCTGAAGTAAAAAAGCTGAAATGACGTCAACTGGGCATTGTCCCCCTAGTTATCTTGCTGCAGTTTCCGTTCTAACCTCTGGGCACAACCCACTTTCCAGGTTCCTGTGGGAACTTGGGAAACGTCGGGGGGAAGAAGTAAGGGGACAAGGGGGACTTCCGTCGACAAATCAAAGCAAAGCCCTGGGAGAGGCCAGGAGAAAAGGAAGAGGCCTGAGGAGAGGGGGCTGGCAGCCTAAAGATAGGCCTCTGCCCTTCCTGAGACAAATGGACACTTTCCTCTTGGTGATCAGGAAAGACCATGCCAGCAGCCAGGCCTGAGAAGGCAGAGGGTGGGAGATTCTGGAGTCACTCTTGCCTGTGCAGGAAGAGGGCCTAGCTCTGAATCCTCAACTATGATACTTGGAAGACTATCTGTTTCAACAGCCCAGGCTTGGAAAACAGCAGGCAACTCTATGACCCTTATGAAATTATATGAACATAGTATTGGAAATCTAAGAATAACACATGAAAACATAATAAAGAGAATGCATTGATATTGTTGGTTGCTATACAAGAGATGAAAATCAATGTGTGTTTTTTCACATGTAAAAAATAAAAGAGATAAAATAATAATAACAAATATAATTAAATAATTAGTACTTATTTTACAAAAACCTACATAGCTTTTGTGAAATAAGGAACATAAAGGACAATTTAAATGGAGAGCTAGAATTTTATTTCTAAGAACACTTGAACTTGCAAAATTGAGTAAGTTGGCATGTAAATTCAATCAGATTCCCATGGATATCCTGTAAAAATTTGGAGGGGAAAAAACTGGAAAAAATATTCTAAAACTAACAACAGGGCCTAATCTATGGAACTAGGGAGAAATAAAATAAAAATTAAATTAAAAAAAAACAAGCATTATGATACACGTGTTAAGGATACAAAATGAGAAGTTATAATTCCTGCCCTGTGGATCATACAGCTGGGGACAGGGAAATCTACATGAAAACAAAAATAAGTATACTTAGGGATTTTATGGAAACTAGGAAAAAAGTTGGGGTGAGTTACCAAGTGAAAGGGACATTTGACTTGAACCCTCAGAGTGAATAGGTGTTTGTCAGGAGTTAAGGGGACAGTAGTGAGGGGCATGTATTTCAGGCAGCTCAATCACTTAGAAGTCGACAATCAGAGCTTCATGACACTATGAATTAAAGGCTCCCATCCTTTGGGAACTTGGAGTGGGGATGATGTTGGTGTAACTACAGTTCAACCCAAGTCTTAAGAACAATGGCAAGTTCAGGGAACAAGGAATCTGTATTGAGCCCATGAGGAGTTGATCTCCCACCAGCAAGTCTTACTAGTGGATGGGGTGAGGTGGGTAACAGAAAGAGAACAGGTTTTCATCAGAAAAACCTCACTGAGCCCTGGCTGGTGTGGTTCAATGGTTGAGTGTCAACCTATGAACTAAGGAGGTCATTATTCGACTCCCGGTCAGGCCATATGCCACGTTGTGGGCTCCATTCCCAGTAGGGGGCATGTAGGAGGCAGCCAATCAATAATTCTCTCTCATCATTGATGTTTCTATTTCTCCCTCTCTCTTCCTTTCTGAAATCAATAAATAATAATAATAATAATAAAAAAACACATTTTTTTAATGTAAGAAAAACCTCCTGAACCTCAGTTTTCTCACATGTATGAGAAGTGTAATAACCACTTTCTTACTGATTGTAGTCCAGATCGGTGGTAACACAGATCCAGCACCTGGCACCATATGCTGCTCAATCAACAGATGATCTTACTCTCTAACCATGTTCTTAACTTGGACCTAAGATTTTTCTAATTTCCCTCAACTGAAAAGTCAGCAGGTCTTTGAAAAGGCTAATTCAAAATTCTCCAAAATCTCCTCCTGCCCCCTCCATGTAGACTTAAGGTCACAGGCCTTGAAATCAGGGTGGGGAAGAGGAAGGGTGGGTTTCCCAACCGGACAAGGCACACATCTCCCCTTCCACTGACTCACATACTTAAGGCTGAAGCTTAATGAAAGAAAAAAATGACAGGAATTTGAGAGGGAGAGAGACTAGTCATCAGCAGCATGGCTTCAGGAAAAGAATGCTTAATGAATGAGCAAGGAGCAGGGGTCATGGCGAAAGACTCATCTTGGAAAGCATGGAATTACAGCTGGGGGTGGGGGAAGGGTGGACACAGGGAAGCTTGTCCCCACCCCACACATTTATGGAGAAATGTCTTGAGATCTCAGGACTGATCCTGGTGTCTGCAGCTTGTAGCTTCATGGGAAAGCGAGGTGGTGGTAAAGTGAGTTTTGGGGTGACAGCCCTGATTCCAGTCCTGGCTCTACATTTCCTGTATCACCACTTCTCTAAGCTTCCTCATCTTGGCAGAACAGCAAACATCTCCCTCTCAGGGTTGGCTGGACTCAATGAGACAACACGGGACCCTGCCTGGCATAAGATGGATAGGTGAAGCACTGTCCCAGAAATCCATACTGCCCTTTTGCCTTGGTAAATGAGATTTACTCAATGCCTGTGCTTAATTTCAGCAAAACAAGTCAATTGCTAAACAAAGATTACACAATGACCTTCTACCCAGTGGCTGCTTCTGATGTGAGAACTAAGTAGGCGGCAACAGGCTGTGAGGTTGATCAAAGGACCTGATGACTCCCTCCATCCCACAGCAATCGAACTGCTAAATGAACTGAATTTTGCTGGTTCATAGCCCAGTTCGCAGGAACCATTCCAGGCCAGAGGTGTAGGCCTCACGGCGATCAGTAAGAACTTTCTGGAGCGCCCTGCTTCCTTGGAAACCTGAGCCTGGGAAATTATGTGGGTCAGCAGGCTCCATTCACTCCCACTCCACAAGGGCAGGTACCCCTAAGACAGGAGAGGAAGTCAAACCTCCTGACCACGAGTATGTAAATGGACTGAACAGCAAGGAGATGTTCCCAGAATCAGAATTCCTACAGGAGCTTCATCGCAGTCTTAGGCACCCTGAACTGGGGAGAGCAGAACTGGAGAGAAAACCAGAAAGCCTAAATCACCCTGACCTCTCATACTGCTCAGCAGCTCCCAGGGCCTGTCTGATCCACCTTCACATCCCCGTGTGCGGGAAGGTGTCTGGGCTGGAAAAATCCACTCCCAAACCATCAGTGTGATGTTGAAAAAGTAAAGTGTTTGACTTGCAATCAGAGCAGCTAGGTTTGAATCTTTGTTTCGTACTAACTGTCTGACCATGGACAAGTCACAGGGCTTCTCTGAATTTCTGCTTTCTCATATGTAACATACAGAGATTTGTTCACTAAAAAGGAAACGCATCCACATGTTGTGAGCATCTGTTCTATTCAAAACTCTAAAAGAGACACAGACATGAATAAAATAAGTTCCTTTATGAGAAAAGAATATAATTTTAAAGTCCTTTTCTTGTACCAACATTTTTCTGCCAATTGCTCACACTGCTATTGTAGATATGATGAAAATGGCATCATATTTACAATATGTGTCAGGTCGTCCCTCTCCCCTATCATGTGTGTGGAAGTCCCTGGCACAGAGATCTCACCCCGTGAATGGAGTTCTCTTCTTCCTGGCCCTAGCTTCAAAATCGGGATCCTGTGGAATTCTAACAAAACCTCCTTAGAAAGCTCTGGCTGGACTCGATCTGGCTCCCCTGGTCTTTACCAGCAGAGTTAGATGTGGGGTTTTTGCTAAGTCATTTGTGTTTCATTATGTGATTTGCATACTGGTGAAACAGGTCTGCACTGTCCTCTCCCTTCATTTCCATCACTCCAGGGACAGCTCTGCTGAGAGTGAAAAGGAGGCTTTTGTCCTTCCTTCTGTCCCTGCCTGCTCTCTTCCTGGAAGTTGGTCCAGATCGCTAACACCCGCAGGGTAAAACTTTCTCCCTTCTCTCATCTCCTCAAGTAGTTCACACTTGGCTCTGGCTCACATGTCTGGTGACTCGTCTACATGGTACAGAACTGGGATTTCTCTTTAGGAAGTTACTCAACTACTTTCAGGACAAAAAATAAATTTTTAGTTGACTTTTCTTTTTCTTCAGAAGGGAGTCAGCCCTGCTAATGTGGCTCAGTGGTTGAGTGTCAACCTATGAACTAGGAGGTCAGGGTTTGCTTCCAGGTCAGGGCACATGCCCAGATTTCAGGCTCAATCCCCAATAGGGGATGTGCAAGAGGCAGCCGATCAATGATTCTTTCTCATTGATATTTCTATCTTTCTCTCCCTCTGTCTTCCTCTCTGAAATCAATGAAAATACATTTTAAAAAACTTCAAAAAAAGGGGAGAATCAGATCTTTTTTTCTGTCATTATCAGGGGTAGAAAAAGAAACTACTATTTTGCTGAGCACTGTTTTAGATACTGTGCTAGGTGCTTTAAATGACATAACCAACATTGTTACAGCATTCTCTTAGGTTTGATACCATTGTGCCCATTTTGCAGATAAAGAGAACAAGTCCAAAAAAGGTCATGTCACTTGTTCAAGGTAACCAAGAGCCATGCTTTACATGGAGTAAGATTTGCTTCTTTCTAAGTCCATACTCCTAATCACAGAATCACCTGGCTTCCTTAGGTAATTAGTATTTCACACACAAAGTATTGGGAGTTTATGTATTGGACTTCTGCCTTTGGAGAAAAGAGGGGACTACAAAGATGCCCTGGAACTAAAAGACAATCTGCATGGGACATTTGGAACTTCAGGCTCCTCCCATTTCCCACTTTTATAACACCCAGGTTGGAAGCACAAGTGCACAGCCTTTGTAAATGTTATGTAGAATCTCTAACCCACTCATAAGCTAAAGGCATCTCACAGCAGTTAATGGTCCTTTCCACGGTGCTCTAACCCTTCCATCTATCCTAGATGAGAAAACTTAGCCAGTTGTTTTGTAGCCATGTAGTTTTCAGGCTTCCTGCACAAAATGGCGCTCTTTCAATGTCCCCAGGTGCTCACAAGGCCTAATTACAGGTCACTAACACTGGGAGGATGGAAGGATGGATGGAAGGAGGAAGGGAAAAAGGAAGGGAGGCGGTGAGGGAGAGAATAAGGGATGAAAGGATGGATGGATGGATGGATGGATGGATGGATGGATGATGTAGAGAATAAACATCTGGCATAGTGGTGGATTCCACTTGCAAACAGCAATCTTGTTCCTGCAAAGTTTCAGCAGACACCCTCAGGAGCTGTGGGTATGCCTTGTGGGTACACCAGACCTCACTGCTCCAGGATTCTAAACATGTTGAACAAAACCTCAATGACTAACAACCACAGGCCAGAGAACACGACTGTCTAGCCACTTCCCTATTTCCTTAGTACCCGGCATCCCCTCTGACACATAAACAGCTCTCACGAGCACCACAGGAAAGAGTCATTCATTTGGTAAACAGTTCAGTGAAGACACAGCAAAAGTCTCTTTTACACCACATAGGCCCCTTGTGATCTACTAAGTCAGCGATGAGGAGACAAAGCTCTGATTACAACAGAAAGAAGCTTATAGTTTTTCTGGTGGATATACACAAAGAAGTGAATGGTGAGAAACTAGGACGAGAAACTTCCTTACACTCCCCAACTGGGGATCAAACCTGCAACCCAGGTATGTGCCCTGACTGGAAATAGAACCTGTAACAGTTTAGTGTACAGGAAAATGCTCAACCAACTGAGCCACTCTGGCTGGGCTGGTTTCTGTAAATTTTGGAAATTACTTGAATTTTCGGAATCTGACTTGGTAATCCTTCCCCACAACAGAAATAATGTTTCTTATGAAATAAAGTTCCTGTAATGATCAACTGAGTTAATGGATTTTCGGAAAACAGTGCTTATTAATAAATGTTATACAAGTGTTTTCATCACTTTGTAATTTCCAAATGGGTATAAAATGCTTATCAAGCAGATATGCTAAATATTATTTTTATTTTAAAAATAAGAAAATCGCCAAGACCGGTTTGGCTCAATGGATAGATAGAGTGTCGGCTTGGGGACTGAAGGGTCCCGGGTTCAATTCCGGTCAAGGGCATCTACCTTACTTGCGGGCATATCCCCAGTAGGGGGTGTGCAAGAGGCAGCCGATCGATGACTCTCTCTCATTGATGTTTCTAACTCTCTATCTCTCTCCCTTCCTCTGTACAAAATCAATAAAATATATTTTAAAAAAAGAAAGAAAGAAAGAAAGAAAGAAAGAAAGAAAGGAAGGAAGGAAGGAAGGAAGGAAGGAAGGAAGGAAGGAAGGAAGGAAGGAAGGAAGGAAAAAAAATCCTGGAAAGTTAAATAACTTCTGCCAAGGCAATGGCAGAGCTCAGAATAGAAGTTAATTTTTCTAGCTAATCTCTTTTTCAAGTATTTCACAGTAAATCTGTCCCTAATCAACCTGGGGGTTTTATGTACAGAAGTGATTTAAGCTGTGGCTGGATGCTAGACATTGGAATCAGAGGGCAGGTACTTACCACCAAATACAGCATAGTGTACATGGAGAAGGAGGCGTGGCCAGAGAAGAAGGACTTCCTGCAAGAGCAAGAGAGGGCCATGAGAGAGACGTATTCACAGTTCCAGGCACATTTCACTCCTGTCTTCTCTCCTAGATTGCCACCTTGAGAGCAGCACTATTTATTTTTTGCAACCCTGATGGTGCTTTGGATGAGTTGTCTGGAACCTTGCAGGTACCCATGAATGAATGAATGAATAAACAAATGAATGAATGAGTAAATGAATGAATGTACCAATACTATATTATCCTTGTTTATTTGCATATCTATCTCAATCATTTGTGAGTTCCTTAAGAACAAGGACTCCATCGTACTCGCCCATCAAACCCAGAGTCCAGCACTGGGCCTGGCACCTAGGAGATGCTTTGTATATGCTCACTGAACTGCCTGCATCAAACAGGTGCACGTAGTGGTCATGGGAGCGGTACCTCACCTGGCTTCCTGGACTCTGCTGTCATCGCCTCTGCATTTATAGTTTTGAATGTAGCCCTCAGAACAGTTGATGAGGCTGAAATCAGGGTTGCAGACGCTCAAGAAATGAGGACGCAAACGTCCTATGGAGACTTTGGCAATGTCTGTGAAGGACTGGCTGATGGCACAGCCAAAGAGGAAGCAACCCACTTGCTTGTAGAGGGCTGCTACGTAGGGATTTCGAATCGTGGACCGGGACTTCTCCTTCAGGTAATAGATCCGGTAGAATTCCCCTGTGATGATCTAAAAGGAAAGCAAGAGGGGAATTAGGATCAAGACCCATCATCAAAACTAATGTTGTAAAGAATATTTAACAATAGAAGAGAATGTTCAGTACATGACTGCAAGTTATAATCTAGGAAAACCCAAGTTCTATTTAGAGGCCTAAAGATGCAAATATGCATGGGAGGAAACATGGATGTTATTTCCCCTCTTCAAATAAGTCCTGCATAGCCATATAGTACCTTCATAATAAAAATGTACACGCAAATATTGTCATGCAAATATATATGTTAACGTAAGAAAGAGATAAATAAGAACTTAGCTGTATAAAATACATTCAGATGAAAAAGCAAGAACAGTTAAGAGTGGTCAGAATATCAGAGGATGAAGCAAATATGAGGACTCTGTGGTTGGGGTAAAGGATCACCAACAACAATCTAACTCTACAAAGGACCTCAGCCTTGTGCCAACACTGAGCCACAGTGGGGGTTTCTGTAGTAAAGGGTGAATGCCCCAAGGCCAAGTCCTGAGTTTGAGTCTGAACTCTGCCACATACCTGGTGTCCTTAACTTCTCCAAGCTTCAGTCCCCTCCTTCCAAAGAGGCTACACACTTTTGCCAAGTTTGGGGCTTACATGTATAAATAAACTGGGTCATGGGAAGTGATTATTCCATCTTCCTTTTTACAGTACAGTAGGATGCAAGGAACACTTGTTTACAAGCCAAGAACTTTTCATACACTGCCCTTCAGCATTTGTGAATTTTCTCAAATCCAGGTCTGCATTGTCTCTATGATCCTGAAGGACAGCGAGTTTTGGTTTTCGTATCCTTCCTTTATCCCTCAATGTATACTTCTTAACACTCAGGGGATATTTATCACTATTAAAAAAAAAAAAAAAAAAGGAAGAAGAAAAAGAAAGAAAAAAGAACCACCAATCACTGAATCCCTACTTCATATCATGCATTGCTTTTATATACTTGATTGTGTGAGATCTTCACAACAACCATGATAGATACAATTGAAGCTCAGAGGGGGATGCACTTCAACGGAGGCTGCCTGGTTTTACAGTAAGAATGTGGGGTCATCGGATTCTCTGTACGATAAATGCCTATATTGCCTACACAGCAGAGGACTGCTTCTACTCTGGTGATGAACCAAACCACACAGCCTGCTGCCCTTCTCTTAACTCCGCAGCACAGCCCTGGCCACTTCCTGGTTTCAGCCAGTCCTGGGGGAGCGATATTCTACTCATCACTCACCACAAAGGCCCTTTCACTCTTCCTCACAGGGCAGGAAGATGAGCCACACTTGCCCTTTCAGGGAGCAGAGAGCATGTTCACAACCACAAGGGAAGCAATAGGCTGACATGTCAGGTACTCCTTCCCAAAGTCTCCTGTTATTCTTCCACAGCGGGGGCAGGCGTCAAGGCATGGGGTCTGATCCAAGTCCTCCAGGGCTCCGGAAGCTGGGAATAGGATGGCCATGAAAAAAGGGGCATGCCAGCTGGGCCAAGGGGCCAACAGGTGCAATAGTGAGAAGATCTACTTCCACAGGTAGTGTTCAGACAGTGTTTCTGTGCTTAAAAGTGCCTGCTACTTGTTTTTAATGTTTTTTATTGACTTCAGAGAGATAGAAACATCGATGAGAGAAAAACATAGATTGATTGGCAGCCTCCTTGCAAGTCCCCTACTGGGAATTTAGCGCACAACCTGGGCATGTGACCTGACTGGGAATTGAACCAGTGACCTCCTGGTGCATGGGACAATGCTCAACCAACTGAGCCACAGTGGCTGGGCACTACTTATATTTCTAAGTACTACCTTTTGGTTTCCCAGATGAGATTGAATGTAATCCTATAATAGAGGGAGACAGTCAAAGGCCAGGCCAGCGTGTCCTAGCTTAGCCACCCCCCGAGTGAGCAGGATAGTACTCTTCACAATTGCCTTATTGCAAAATTGGAAATATCTTCTAAACATTACCAAGAGTCCTTTGATAACACATTGCAAAGATTAAAATCTGAGAAACATAGCAAGTCAGAAATAAAAAGGGTCCATTATATACAGAAGAAACGGAGGTCCAAGCTAACTCACATTTTAAAGATTAGACCCAGGTGTTCCAAGTCCCCACCCAGCATTCTTTCCTACTATTCATGGTCTAATTCCCCTTTTGAACCTGTTTACACTTTTACCCTATGTAACCTTACAGGCTAACAAGTTCCAGATGTTTATAACGGCCATCATGTACTCGAACTCTTATTCTTCTGTATTTATTAATATAAGTCCTGCTCACGTGACTTTAGACGCATGGGGAAGAACACCAAAATAGGAATCAAGGAGCCAAGGTTCGAAAGTTCCTACTCATTGAGTGAATTTGGAATAAATTAGGCTTTCCATTTGCAAAATGAGGGCACTGGGCTCCATGATTTATTATCTCCTAATTGCAATGACATGTATTCTCAACTTTCCTGTGCCACCTCAACCACTACCTACCTCCCAACCCAGCAAAGGTAATGAGCAGTAGGAAAACAAAGTACTTCCTAGGAGATGACCGCAGGCAAGGAGCGGAAGCAAGGCCCTGTGCATGATCCCTGCCCTGGGATTGCTCCTGAGGTACCTGAACCATATCACTGTAACAGATTATGAAACTGTTTCTAATTGACTCAGCTTGAATGTGATTTCCTGTTTGATGCTGAGAAAGAACATGTGGGTTTCTACTGCAAATTAGTATCTTTTATGTGAATTTACTAATGCATCTCAGGTGGGTTATCTCTCTGCATCAGTCAGCTTGGAGAGAAAGGGCTTGATTACAACTCAAAGATTCCTTTCAGGTCTGGCATGCCTTCATTATAAAACTTCAGTTTTCCGTGCCCCAGTCTTGCAAACAGTAAATCGCTAATTAGAATGCTTCCTCCAATCATGGGGAGATAAAGAGGACATTTTATGGTACCTCAAATTCCTAATAACAATGTTAATCATAGCAGTAATCATCGTCATTTCTTTTGCACTTTATATTTTCATTTAAGCAGCAACTCGATGGAGAAGATATACCCATTTTATAAATGGTAATATTGAGGCTCTGAGAACTATTGATTTATCTACAGGATTAAAAGGAGAGCTTGGGTATTCTGACTCTCAAGTTCTAAGACTCACAGCTGACTACATTGAGAAAATTTTATTATTTCCATTGTTATGAAAAACAGTTCCCACTGTACTATAGCCATTGTATATTTCCAAGGATTGGGCCAGGCTGAAGCCATTTAACAGACACATGACTCCAGGACCACATGGCTTCTGGGCCAGTCCTGTCAGATCTTGGAGTTAATGAGCAACAAATTATGTATTTTCTCTCTCCCCTTGTACAGAAGGGTCGGGGAGTCGACAACACAGCCATAAATCATCATTATAAACCAGCCGGACTTGGCTTCTTGTAATCCTAACCCTTAAAAAACCATTTAATGAAATTCGGGCTGTGAATGACGGCCCCGCATACCTCACCTCTGCACAAGAGGCGAAGGCTTAAATTGTTCCCTGACACGTTACACACCTAACTCCGGAGTCCCAGATTTACTGCTTTCGGACTTTATTCATTACTCACAATGTTTTTATTCCTGGTTAATAAAATAAGCTCTTCTCTTCCCCTCCCTCTCCCCCTACAAAGACTGTGTCCCCACCCCCAGACCCAGCCCCTAGAGCCCCCAATTCTGCTTCGGTCAGCAAGGTTGTGATAATGTAAATTTCACTGCTGAGACAAATGCCTTCAATGTTGATCCCTTTCTGAAGCAGCAAGCAACAGATTCTGGGAGGATGGCAGGCTGCCAGAGGAGCAGAGAACTCTCTCCCCTACCTGCCTCTTAAAGCCCTTGGCACAGAATCTGGAAACTAATAAACTGGAAAGCACTGCAATTAAGCTACGAGGGACAGAAAAGGATCAGTTCTTGCCCGAGAACGGCTGCAGTTTGCGGGGGAGGTTGTCTCCAGCTCTAAGAGGGCCACTCTTCCTGTCTTTCCCGGTGAAAAAGAGCTCAACTGCCCACCTACCATAGTCACAAATATTGAACTGTTCTGGGGAGGAAATTTGGAGAAACACTGGGATAGACTTTATAGATAGGAGAGAGCCTAGGGTTGTGAGATAGCACTGACTCTGGAGCCACAGAACCTTGTTCTGAATCTCATCTCTTAACCTTAGGCAAGTGACTTCATCATTCAGGATTTGATAGTATCAACCTGGCAGGATGGCAAAGGGGACTCAAGTGGGAGATATGTCACATGGCCAGCATGTAGCTGAGGAGCCCTCTGAAAGCTAATTTTCTTCTTCTACTGAATAAGGGGAAACAGAAAACTAACAAATACTCACAGAAAATATCTTTTCCCAGATACTTCTAAGGGCTCTTTGGAAGAGAACATTCCAGGAAGTAGTTTAGAAGTACCACCTCTCCAGACACATGTGTTTAGATGACGTGGGTTTTGACCATTTGATCTAAGATGACTTTTTCAAGGGAACAAACTGGAAAGCAAGTCTAAACCCAAAGCAGAAAGGGCATACTGTGTTATCTGTTATTTTTTTTTAAACATTCCACTCTATTTTAAATTATATCAAGAAAAGATCTTTGCAGTGTCTCAAGGATCCCTTTTTAGAGATGTAGAACTCATCTGCTTTCCCTATTGAGTTTGAAGGACCAACTTCCCTATATTCTGATCTGCTTGAATAATATTTGCATAGCACTTTACAGCTTACAAAACATTTTCACATCTACTGTGTTATTTGCTTCTCACAACAGCCTGTAGATTACTAAGTTATTACTGACCCTTTATAAGTGAGTATGGTGAAGGGCAGAGGGGTCAGTAAGTAAGGCCAGTGAATCATTCTGGGTCAGAAATAAGGAGGTCTGGACCTCCTTGTTCTAGTTTTTATGCTCTGTCTGATGGCATCAAGCTGGCTTTCTCTTAGATGTTCTAGCAGGCAACAGCATCTATGTCTCCAGTGAGATAGATATTGCACCTGGTGAGGACACGTAATCACCA